AGCTCTATTACTGCCTGTTAAGGACAAAGATGTTATTTTGACTGCATTTTTCCTCCAAGCTGAAAAGCTTTGGTCTTCATAGGCTGGTCTAGTAAAACCTTTGTTTGAGGTTAAGGAGCTGTATTTCAAATGATGGGCAGAATAATCTACGATTGTTTACTTCAGAGATGCCTGATAGTTTCACAACTCAGAAAATTGGCACTATGAAACAATTTTGCAATTTTTGTGACTTACAAGGCAGGCAGCACACTACCTTGATAGCCAGCCAATGGTGAAAAGGTAAGAGTTCATTTGTTGTTGTTTGCTTCCGATTTGTTTCCAATTCATGGCAACCCTACCATGGTTTTTTTGGGGGGATGATATTTGTTCAAAGGGGGGTTGCTGTTGCCTTCCTCTGAGGCTGAAAGAGTGACTCACCCGAGGTCACCTGGTGGGTTTCCATGGCTGAGTGGGGATTCAAACCCTGATCTCCAGAGTTGTATTCCAACACTCAAACCACTATATCACCTGGGTCTTAGTTCACCCATACCTTTTCTGAAATTATAATATTTTGGTTTCATAATTTTTTCCCCCCAAAGATTTTTGACAACTGAATTGCATGCTTCCCTGGATCAGCAGGTCTCAGGGAAGACGTGAAAGAATGGGATATTTTAAGTCAAATAATTACATAGTGTTTTACTCAGGAAATGAAAATCTAAGAAGTAATGGGGTGGTATTTATAGTGAGGAAAGATGTAGCAAAAACAGTTAAAAGCTATAATGCAAAGTCTGATTTAATCATGTTAATAAGATTTCAGGAAAAACCCATTAGTATAAACACAATCCAAATTTATGCTCTAGCTACAGAGGCAGATTCTGTGTTGAAATCCAGGAAGAAACTGAAAACACACCAAAACAGGACTTCTTGTTAATCATAGGCAATTACAATGCAAAAGTAGGAAACAGAGCAGAATCAAGGATTGTAGGACAATTTGGCTAGGATCAAGAAATGAAGCAGGAGAACAACTGGTTGAATTTTGCAAGGCAAACAATTTGTTCACTGCAAACACATTCTCAAACAACCTAAGAAGCAACAATACGCATGGACTTCACCTGAAGGCCAATACAGAAATCAAATAGGAAGTTGATTCAAATCCATAAACACTCAAGCTAAAAGATGCTGCTAGATTGCTTCCCTCCATTTATGTTTATCCAGCAATAAAATCAACAACAACTCAAAAATCTCAAGAGAAGAAGTCTTCCTGGATATTGCCTTCACATGGAGTGATCCCAAAGTGGTGGTCCCACTCCAGGAGAAAGGATATAAATCAAACCAATCAATAAAATATCCAACTGCACTGTGTGCATAATATGATTTTTGCTCATGAAAGCATGTTAGTTACGCATATGCTCCTCCTGCAGTGTAAGATCACACAATGTGAGAGCAACTCCCATGGGACAAGCTTGCAAAAATGTGATTTTCCACCTTCTCAAATGTACCAAAATAGTACTTTAGCACTGAAAGCTGCAGGTAAGAAATAACATGTTCAGATGCTGACCAGTCTAAAATTATTCTTCCATGAAGAAAACTACCTTTTAAGGGAAGAATGTTTTCATCTCCTCTCCTTGAAGGATTACATTTTTGAAGCTTACCACATTAGATTACATAGGCAGTATTCTCTCTCTCTCACACATATAACTTCAGACAGTAGACCACAAAAAGGAGTACAGTATTAAACTTTTAAAAGCTAATTATTAGTACAATGTTGTCAACCACATGTGAGTGCTGTCCCAAATAATCTTTATAGAAACTTTAAAAATCTATGGCAGTCAAAAAAATCCCACTATTATTATAGGAAGAACAAACAGTAATATTTAAAAGCTTTTCAAGTACGGTAACAGCACAAAACTTTTGATTATTTGCATTTGCATTTGCATAATGATTTGGTAATGTTAGTGTTATGTCAAATTGTCTCATTTACTGCTCTAGGCAGGATTTTCCTCTTAGATTCTGTGAAGCAATTGCTTTCTCAGACTTCAGTAGGTGCTAATCTCTATAATGACCAAATGACCTGTGCCACTTTTTATTCTGTTTGCATACCTGTTTTCCTAAAATTTTCTCTTTTATCTCTAACTCCATTTGTAACTGCCTTTCCAGTAGAGCAGCTTTCGCCATGATAGTTGCTATAGTAATCTCCTTCTGGTGAAGCTCTTCTGTCAGGTCAGAGATTTCTCTCCTCATTCTTTCCACCTCAGAGCGATGGGACTGCTCTTCCCGATAAAGACGGTCCCTTATCTGCAGCAAATGTGGCCCACAAAAGAAAAGAATGAGAGCCAGACTTTCAGATTGTATCATTTTTCACCTACCACTGACTTTTTGGACGTTGTTTCTAGTACACTAACCCTTCCAACCATACTAGTGATAGCAGAGAGATTTAAAATCTTACGATTCAGAACAAAATTAGTACAAGATGAAAGTAGTGTATAGGATACCAGCCTCCATAATCTGTATTATCTACTCCAGTATGATTATTGTACAACAGATTTGAACATCACAGATTAGATTTGCAAAATACTTCTCTTGAAAATATAAATAAACATGTTTAAAATGTCTATCAGGGATGCGGTGGCTTAGTGGTTAAGATGCCAATTCTGACAATCGTAAGGTCAGAAAGTTGGCAGTTTGAGGTGCAAGTGCTGCACGATGGGGTGAGCTCCCGTCACTAGTCCCAGCTTCTGCCAACCGAACAGTTCAAAAGCATGCAAATACAAATAGAGAAACAGGTACCACTTCTCAGTGGAAAGGTAACAGCATTCTGTGCAATCATGCTGGCCACATGACCACCGGAGTCGTCATCGGACAACTCTGGCTCTTCAGCTTAGTAATGGAGATGAGCACCGCCCCCTAGAGTCAGTTACAACTAGACCAGGGGTAGGCAACCTTTCCACTTTAAGGGCCGAGGGACTTCAGCTCCCAGAATCCCAGGAGCTATTGGCCAACATGGGACTATTGGCCAACATGGCTGAGGCTTCTGGGAGTTGAAGTCCCTTGGCCCTTAAAGGGGAAAGGTTGCCTACCCCTGAACTAGACATTCATGTTAAGGGAAAACCTATACTTTTTTAAAATGTCTAGTTCCAACAAATAACCAAGATAAGCACCGCACCTTATGGTTGGACACAACTTGACAACCTTGTCAATGGGGAATACCTTTACCTTTTCCACCAAAAACATTCTTACAATAATTATGTCAACAGTTATACTGCAGCAATATCATGAAAAGTATTATAATATTAGATATATGTGAATAGGCTATTTGTTCTCCCTGTCCCTAGGCTTCATCCCATTGTGAGGTTTCAGTCTTATACTTGCATGTGGACTCCTTCTTACGCTCCTCATTGCAGGAAAAATCAAACAGGAAAACTCAATAATTTCTTGGATGTAGGCTCTTCATCAGCCCTACAGCATTAAACCCAATTCAGGGTGTTAACTTTTCCCTACAGTGGAGAAATTGGAGTGGGAGACAATATAACCTAGACCAGGGGTAGGCAACCTTTCCCCTTTAAGGGCCGAGGGACTTCAGCTCCCAGAATCCCAGGAGCCATTGGCCAACATGGGACTATTGGCCAACATGGCTGAGGCTTCTGGGAGCTGAAGTCCCTCAGCTCTTAAAGGGGAAAGGTTGCCTACCCCTGACCTAGACTACTGACCCCAAATCCACTCCACCCCACCCCCCAGAGAGGCATAGAAAAAGAAATTGCCAAACACATTTGAAGCTACAAACACTTGGCACCAGTGCTACAAATATATTGTACTATGAAGAGGTCGGATGTTCTACTATTCTTCTAGAATAAGTTAAATCAATAGTTAAAGCTCCAGGCAGAAATATATGTCAGTAACCCACAAAAGAGAAATCATGATAAATGTTGATACAATATTTTTTTATATAAAAGATCTCACGGAAAAGATATTTGCTACTACTGTCATTTAATGGGTTGTTATACACTATTAGATGTAGCCCTCAAAGTCATATTTCCTGTACTGTTCTGCTCTCACTTAAGAGTACACTGTGGGTCTCCATACCTTTTCTGCCAATAACAGATATTGAGACTGCAATAAACTCTTCTATTAAGTAGAACAATATAGCACTTCTGGATGCCAACTTCAAAGGAACCAATCAAATGACATTTAGCTGTATTTTGACGTCTTGCCCACATGATATTGATCATTTCATGGCACTTTTATCATTACTTGCAACATAGCCCTTTACTTTCACTGAAGTCAGGAGGTAATAAATGCCTGTATTAAAACTTAATAGGCACAAGCCTTATAGAGTGGGCACACATTAAGACTATAGTCTTATATCGGAACAAAGGATGTTCTGCTTGAAATAAATGAATTTAGTAGTGGGCTGTTAAAGCTACCAAATCTTGCACTGTTTAAAATGCTTTCCAAAGATTTCTCCTCTGCTTTCCTGTGGTACCACATAGCAAAATTTTACTGCCACAGTGTTACTTTTTTAAAAAATGATTTTAAATTATTATTATATATTTTAGTCAGTAGTGTAATATCCCTGTGACATAATGCTGTCATTGCATTATTAAAGCTTATATTTTCCAAAAAAAAAAAAATTAAAGGGAAACCATCATAATGTAAAAAGCAGGATAAATAGGACAGTATAAATTGTTGGTACTGAGAAACCTGGAGGACCAAAGTTTGAGAATCTCTGTGATAAAGGGTGTGATATATAGTGTCACCATTCAGTTATCTTTCCAAGTATGGGTGTAGTGGTTATTGAACAGGCCAACCCCAAACAACTGACTAGTGTGATATACACCCAAGACCTAGGGACAAATCACTATTATGTCAGTGTGTTGTTGTTGTGTCCCTTCAAGTTACTTCCAACTTATGGTGACTCTAAGGTGTACCTATCATCGGGTTTTCTGGCAAGATTTGGCCAGAGGAGGTTTGCCATTGCCAAAGGCTGAGAGTGTGACCTGCCCAAGGTCACCCAGTGGATTTCATGGCTGAGCTGAGTGAGAATCAAACTTTGGTCTCCAGAGTCACAGTCTAGCACTCAAACCACTAAGTCACACTGGCTACATAATTAATATAATCCACCAGTCTAATCTAATCTAATCTGTATCTTGTATTTCTTCCCGCAAAGAATTCAATCACAGAACCCATGAATTACTTAATTAAATTAATTACCTCCAAAGCACCCCAAGGTCCTGCCCCATCTTTATTCCTCTCCTCTTACAACCTAAACCTACCTCTCCATGTGACTATAATTCCACCATCTCCACCATCCTCATCCAAAAGTTCTACTTCCTCAAAAAAATTCCACCCTATCATCCTGGCGGGCCTATAGGCTAAGTGCTACCTCCTGAAACATTTCTAATGTTCCTTTACATACCTCAATAATAATAATAATAATAATAATAATAATAATAATAATAATAATAATAATAGGGGTATCTAACGGGAGGAGGACCAGGTAGTCTATTCCAGGTAAGCCTGCCAGAAGAGATCCATCTTGATGGCTTTTTTAAAGCTATCTAAGCTGGTTATCTGCCAGATCTTTTCTGGCAAGGCATTCCAGAGTCTAAGGGCTGTAGCAGAAAA